TTAAGAGATCATGTGTGAACAGGACCTTTTCAAAAATCCCGGTAAATTCGTTCTGGCAATCATATCGTTCTTATGGAGATGGCTTGATTACTCTGAGCTGTTTACAAAGCTCCGCTGCGTTTTTAATAGCTTTTCTATGTAAATATGACGCTAGATGGAAATATTTGAACATTGCGCTTCGCAGCTTTTTCAGTGTCGCGCTCGAGACCAAGGTTTCTTTTCCATTCATCAGCTGCGACTCTGCAATTGGATACTATTATGCGAGTCTCGTGTTTACTAGCCAATCATAAGTTTTTGCTCTTATAATGTTAGTTTGGTTGAGAGTGAAAGCTGTGTTCCTCTCATACATTGGTAGGCGAACTCATGAACTCGAACGTGATATCAACAAGTGTTTTTAAATGTAGGACGACAATCTTTTTTTTCCCACAGCCAAACGCCGCACGCCGGAGATCCGGCACGGTGCAGGAGAACTTTAAGCCCTGAATGAGCGACACCTGCGCCACTCACCGGTCTCGAGTCCCACAGAGGAGCTCCGGAAGGATAAAAGGAGGAGTGACGACAGTGCAAGACGAGAGAGGACCAGGCCAGGATTTTATGTTGTTGTTTTATTATGTTTTATGCTGCAGTCGTCCGTGAGGGGCTGCTGCTTTTACTTTTGTTTTGTGTTTGTTCATTTGTTTATTAAAGTTTTGTGTTTAAATGTTCGCCGGTTCCCGCCTCCTTCTTCCCGATCTAAGAACATTGTTATATTGGTGCCGAAGCCCGGGAGGAAGGAGGGACACGCTGTCAGAGAGCCCTTGCTGCTGAGGGGGATCGCGGTGCTGAGGAGGTCGGGCAGCAGGAAGAAGCGGAGACCGCCAGTGGCTGCCTGAGGCGGTGGTGCTGGAACAATGGAAGACGAGGTGGGACCGAGAGCTCACTGCCGTGCTCCTGGGTCGAGGATGGGTGGCTGCCGTCCGAGACGGAGCGGAGGAGTCGGTGCTGTTCGCCAGGAGGCCGGAGCCTGCTGCCATCTGCCATGATTGGGGAGGAGCAGGGAATGGGGGACTTGCTGCCCTCAACAGGAGCCATCGCCGTCCGCCAGGAGGCGGAGGAGCATCAAGCCGTCCACCAACGATATCCAGTACCATCGCATGGCACCGCGAGTGAGAGCCTCTCAGCTGGTTGAGGACCAAGTGGCAGTGTGTCCGGGAACCGGATCGAGAATTTTTTTTCTCCTCTCTCGTCTCTTTCTCTTCTCATACTTCCGTCTCCTTTTCTCTCGCCTTGTCTGTCCATACTCCCAGGTGCTGTGGCTGCTGTGACGGGGCCCCCAGGGGGAGTAGAGCGCAGTCTCGTGGTACCCCCTGGCCTGCGAGGGGCAGTGGGGGTATGTGACGAGTGGGGCGTGGCCAAAAGCCATGGGAACGGAGCGAGGCCGGTGGAGTAAATGATAATGAGCGACACCTGCGCCACTCACCGGTCTCGAGTCCCACGGAGGAGCTCCGGAAAGATAAAAGAAGGAGTGACGACAGTGCATCCTGAAGAGGACATCCATATAAATGTGCAAAAAATGCCTGCAAATTTAGTTTTTGTCTCTTGTTCTGGAATTCCATTGAGAGCAGCAACATTTGTTGACAAAATTCAACAGCCATTTATTTTGGTAACATTTTGTTAATTATTTTATGGAAAACTATTTACCTTAGTATCTCCAGCTGACAGTTTGTACTCTTCAGTCCATCAGCAAGCAGCTTCACTCCAGAATCCTTCAGGACATTGTTACTCAGGTCCAGCTCTCTCAGACAGGAGTTTGAGGATTGTAAAACTGATGACAAACTCTCACAAGACTGAGCAGTGAGATTACAGATGGAAAATCTGAAGAAGAAAACCAGTAATTGCATACAGAATAAATCTTAGCAGTGTGATTTTTATTAATTCATTTAATGCAAAAAAAAAAAAAAAATCAAGCATTTCAAACTCAAACCTCAGAATCTCCAGCTTAGAGTTTGGACTCTTCAGTCCATCAGCAAGCAGCTTCACTGCAGAATCCTTCAGGTCATTGTTACTCAGGTCCAGCTCTCTCAGACAGGTGCTTGATGATTGTAAAACTGATGACAAACTCTCACAAGACTGAGCAGCGAGATTACATGTGGAAAATCTGAACAAGAAAAACAGTAATTGCATACAGAATAAATCTTAGCAGTGTGATTGTTAGTAATTAACTTAATGCAAAAAAATGTATCAAGTATTTGAAACTTAAACCTCAGTATCTCCAGCTTAGAGTTTGGACTCTTCAGTCCATCAGAAAGAAGCTTCACTCCAGAACCCTGCAGGTCATTGTTACTCAGGTCCAGCTCTCTCAGGACAGAGTGTGAGGATTGTAGAGCTGAAGACAAACTTTCACAGTACTGAGCAGTGAGATTACATCCACATAGCCTATGAAGTGAACAAAACAAACAGTCATATTGTGAATTTATCAGACAGTTTGTATAGTTTATAATGTGGAGAGCATGTTTGTATTAAAAACAGTGTATTTACACTTTATTGGTAGAACTATAATATGTATACAATAATAAAGCACTTATAAATAATTTCAAAACTATTGGTTTATAGTTCATTAATAGTTTATCAAGTGTACTTAATACATTAATAGGCTATATACAAATAGTTCATTATTAATTTTTACTGTAATTAAAGTGTTATTGTTTAATTAGCTCATATGTAAATAACTACATATGCTTTCTTAACAACATATTAACTTATCAATGAAGAACTCAGTTTGTATATAGTCTATTGTTGTATTAACAACAGCTTATAAACTATTAATTAACTACTTGTATATATTATGGATTATTATTATTATATTATTATGGATATATTATTTTTACACCTGAAATCACGTTTGGTCTCGTACTGTATCGCGTACCTCGTCAGTGTCGTGCGCTTTGCTTGGCCATTTGTTGTGATAAACAGGAAAGTGTCTTCAAGCGCCAGCAAAACAGTGTCAAGAAATACTCTTTGTGAGAAGCAGTCAATCAGCAGAAGTTAAAAGAAGCTTGTAAGTGTATTGTAAGTGTATTTATTTCTTGTCTCAGTGTATAAAAGCGTCTGCTAAATGACTAAATGTAAATGTAAATGTAACTTAAGTAAGCACAAATGTCAGGGCATGTCACAACATCTCCAAGACCCGAAAAATGTCTCAGGGTCTGAGTTATGTCCTGAGGGTTCATAACTCATCTGTGCATTTGTGCTCAACACTGCAACAAATTGTTCATGTATCAAACTGATCCAGTTCAACTCCCTGACTCAATGATCCGGTCACAGCGGTTGTCAGGTTATCAACACACTGAATCTGAGTAATATGATTCTCAGAGCAGAGGATTTTACTGATGAAGTTCAAATAAATGTATAGTAATAATCAAATTCATAAGGAACGGGAACATGTTTCTAAATTAACATGAAACAGTTAATTGTAACAAACTGTTTAAAAAAAGTCACTTAAGGAAATGTAGTTATTATTTAACTCTCATAATTGGAAAACAGCATTACAAATATCCAGGTTTTCCATGATGGTTGGGAACCCTGATTGTTTTCTCGTCATGTTTTTTTTTTTTTTTTTGAGTAGGTATTGCCTGCCTTGTGCCCTTGGAGAAAATGCCACTGATACAATCGTACTACAATATAAACAGGGGAAAATATCTGCTAGCCATAGTTATGAAACGCCTATTCATCCACATATCTGAACATAGTGATTCAGTTAATGTGAATGTCAAACCTCAGGATGTTCAGTCGACAATGTGGACTCCTTAATCCATCATAAAGCAGCTTCACTCCTGAATCCTGCAGGTGATTGTTACTCAGGTCCAGCTCTGTCAGATGAGAGTTTGATGATTGTAGAGCAGAAGACACCGTTTCACAGCATGTTTCATCAAGACCACAGCTGTCAAATCTGCCAAAACAATGTTTAGACAGATTATTTTCTGATGTTCAGTGTTTCTGCAATAACTAATTGTAGCCTTCATAATCCGGACAGGAAAATCTTTCACATAGTATTTTGACATTTAATTGTTTAGTTTTTAATTGATGTTTAAAATGTTTAATTGAACAGTAGTCAGTGAAATTACTCACAAGGCTTTCCTGCAGCATCTCACAGCTGGAATGAGTCTTGTGTAGTTTGAAGATGATGTGAACCTCTTTGGGTTGAACTCATCCAGCACCTTCTCTGACATCAGCAGTACTGAGGTCAACACTGCGCACATTGAAGACGAGAGGTCTCTTCCTGGGTGTGCATCTGAACTGAGGTAACTCTGGATTTCCTCATATATTGAATGATCTTTGAGCTCAAGTAAGCAGTAAAATAGGTTGACTGATGTTTCATCTGAGATGTCCTCTTGTTGTAATTCTTTAATGTGTTCACATATTTGTGTTATGCTCTCTGTGGTGTATTTAGTGTGTTTGATCAGGCCTTTGAGCAGGTTCTGACTGGATTCCAGTGAAATTCCCATCAGAAACCGCAGGAACAGGTCCAGATGCCCTCTCTCACTCTGCATGGCTTTATCAGTGGCCCTCTCTGTTAAGTCATGAAATGTGACATTTCTAAAGAAGAACTGAAGCTTTTGTCTGGCTGTATTTTGTGAATCTTCAAAGAAAAACTGAAGCTCTCGCATGTTCTTGTTCAGGTAGCAGATGAACACATGCACTGCAGCGAGAAACTCTTGAACACTCAGATGCACAAAGCAGAAGACCTTTGTCTTATAAAGTCCATCTTCCTTCTTAAAGATCTCAGCGATCATTCCTGTGAACTCAGTGTCTTTACTCACATCAATACCACATTCTTTCAGATCTTTCTCATAGAACACAATGTTTTCCTTCTTCAGCTGTTCAAACGCTAGCTTGGCTAACTTCAAAATCATCTTTCTATTTAATTTTAAGTGCTCTGTACGTTCTCTTTCTTCTTGTTCATCGAACTTCTGGCTCTTCATGTTCAGCTGTATCAGCAGGAAGTGGATGTACATTTCAGTGAGTGTTGTGCTGATGTTCTCTTCATTGTTTTCAATGAGAATATTCTGAAGTACTGTGACTGCGATCCAGCAGAACACAGGAATGTGGCACATGATGTAGAGACTACGAGACATCTTAATGTGTGAGATGATTCTGGAGGCTTGAATCTCATCTTTGATTCTCTTTCTGAAGTACTGCTCCTTCTGTTCATCAGTGAATCCTCGCACTTCTGTGAACAAACCCACATACCGAGAAGGGATCTGATTGGCTGCTGCTGGTCGTGATGTCACCCAGACAAGAGCTGATGGAAGCAGCTTACCTTTGACCAGACTTGTGAACAGCACATCTACAGATGCTCTTTCCTCAACAGTGTCCAGTGTGTCGCTTTTAAAGTTCAATGGCAGTCGACTCTCATCAAGTCCATCAAATATAAACGCTAGCTTACATTCCTTATATAACTTTGATTTCTCCAGGTTCTTCAATTCAGGATAAAATTTCAGCAGAAGCTCATGGAGACTGACCTTTTTATCTTTAATCACGTTGATCTCTCTGAATGGAAGCAGGAACACACAGTCTATATCCTGATTGGTGTTCTCTTCTGCCCAGTCCAGGATGAACTTGTGCACAGAGACAGTTTTTCCGATGCCAGCGACTCCCTTGGTCAGCACAATCTTCTCCTCATTGTTTTTCCTCAGTTCAGTAAATATATCATTGCATTTGATTGGTTTGACCTGTGTTTTTTTGTTCTTGAAAGCTTCATCAATCTTATGAATCTCATGTTCGTGATTGACATCTTTCATATCTCCCTCTGTGATGAACAGTTCTGTGTAAACAGCCATGAGATCTGTGTCGCTTTCTTTGTTGCCCTCAAAAATACATTTAGCTTTTTTCTTCATGTTGTTTTTGTGAGTTTTCAAGAAGTTTTGCAGGTCTATAATTAAAAACAAATAAATAAGATTGACCAAAAAAGCATTAAACAAATTTGACAAATATTTTTTTTTCATATCAGAATGATCTTCATTATTAAGAACTGATGCAGACAGATTCAATTCATACCGCTGAAAACCGCACAGACCATCCCTAAGAGCTTGCTTTAAAATGTCTGAATATGTTTTTATGTTCTTTCCAGATCACAATCATTGGATCGATTGAGATCATCTTTAGGCTATGCTGACTAATGTTACTAAAAGCTGATGAATGGTTTCCACATTATTTAGAACATCAAACAGGATGTGAGGCTGTATTTACAACTTTTGCTTAAATGAACCTTTCCATGACCATGTCTGATTGTAATCATGCCTTGATGACATTGAATCAATTTAGTGACAGTGCCATCTATTGGTCAACTTTAATAAACAATTGTATCACAATATGCTTTTATGGTGCGTTCAAGTGATGTCGGATAGATCATATTTACGAGTTGAACGCACATGAACGCCACCACAAAGTCATTATTACGAGTGGGGAAACTCGAAATGTTCTTTAAGCCCCGAGTTTCCGAGTTGGGTGCGTGTCAATGAGAAACATGGCGGAATCGATGGATGCACCGCCTGTAGTTGACGGTAAATTTTTGTTTAAATTGATCATTTAGTTGTCCTATAAACTTAAATGGGTCATGTTCTTGTTACGCAGCTGAAATCCAAGTAAAAAAATGCAGACCCTGTTGTATTTTCTTGTAATTTATTAAAAGAAGGTACACCACCATCTTGTGCCGACTAAACTGACTTGACGTCGTAATTACGACTTGTCAACTCGTAAGTACGAACGTCCCAGGAGGACTTGAATGCAGCATTCGACTATTGTGAACTGGATATCACTGGAGAAACACTCTGTTCTCTTCTATATATTTGTATAATATCTGCTGCTGATGTGACTGGCCCTGTAATTGCTGCTTGCAGTTATATTTTCTCTTGTTTCCATTTACAGGAAGTGATTGTTATTTACCACAGATCTGTTGTGAATTACCTCCAACAGGGACAGGTGTCTTCATATTGCCCTTAGCCTGAGCTGCGTGTGTGTGTGAGTGAGAGAGAGAGAATTACTCACAGCAATGCAAAAAGGAAAAAAAGGTTTAAGTCACACATGTAACTATTTAGCCATGTTACAGTCACAGTGAATGAAATGTTACCTTGCTTATGTTCATTCTCCAACTCTTCAGCCAGATCATTCCGGTTCATCTTTCTCAGGATGTCCACCGTGATCTTCACAGCTTCTTTTGATCCGAAACATGTTACCATCTTTTCCACTGTGTCGAATATATCTGCCTTTTCCATTTCAGACTTTGATATACATTTATGATATGCATTCATTAAGCGCCAATGAAACTCCTTCAGTTGAGCTTCTACAAGCTCCTTCAATGAGTCCACGAGCAGCTCTTTAACAGACGCCATCGTCCTTCACCGACTCACAGCTGCAGGACAAGAAGAAAAAGATCTGAAGTAGTTGCATTCTTCACATGTAGGCCTAAGTGTTTAAATGTTATTTGGATTATGAAGCTGTGTGCAGAGACATGAATCATCAGAGAGTTGTGTAAAGCAAATTTGCTATAATTACTTTAAAATATTGAAAATTGCTTTTTGTTATGGAGTTTTGTTATGAAAAAAATAGGTACACAATGCTGTACACAATCTGATGTTCACAATCAGTATGTTCACATGGACAACAATATTCCGATATTAACACGATTAAGATAATACTCTGATTAAGAATCAACAATGTAAACAGATTTTTGATTACTTTGAGTATGACTTTAGCCGGATTAAGGTAAACACAGACCGAATTAAGACATGTGGAGTATTCCTATTTTAGTCGCATTATTGAAGTGCAGTACACATGTACACACCTTAATCACACTATTACCATCGTGTAGGACTTTTCGCCGTATTTTGTGACAGGATACACACATGGCAGTGGTCAACCGTTTGACGGCAAACAAAAGAGCATGGCTTCAAGCAAGGAGGCACATTTTTATCCGTCGTCTTCTATTTGCACGTATAGCATGACAAATAATTAACTGCACTTGAAGCTTTCGTAAAATTAAAAATGAAACACTGCATAACATGGAGGCACCCGCGCAATCCCTTGCATTTTTTTTTTCCTGTGGAAAGAACTTAAGGCTACTCCGTAATTGTTAGTCATACAGGAGTAGCCTAACAGGCTACATCATTTGTAAAAAAAAAATATATATATATTTCAGATTTTATTTATGTTCACTCACAATAACACCAAAACGCTGTGCTTTTGTAAGATAGAGAAAGTAAACAGGATGTGCTTTCCGCAGTCTCATGCAGTCTCCGTGAAATGGAGCGCGTCACAACAATGCTACTTGCCTCACAGACATAAGAATTAAATCAATGAAAAAAAATCTAGCTTGAAATGTCTACTATTGAATGAACCAATTCAAATAAAAAACAAATATTATCTAATTATGTAGTCTGTATGAAAAGGTGCATTTCTCTAGGCTTTTAAAGGCAAGTCCATTACTGTGGAGATGGCGAGTCGGCATTCGGCAACTTAATCTTTGCAGCCGGCACTGACTGAGAAAGCGCTTGTTTATTAATAAATAAATTCAAATGTCTTCTTTTTTCCCGGCACATTCATAATCATTACTTTTGCCAGTGCATTGCGGCAAGCTTTATGTGCGAACTTAAGTTAAAATATAGGCATATACAGGACGTATTATAGCTTATTCCACAAAGATGGTTTAGTAGGTTATTATATTAATCAATTTAATATAAACTTGCGACTAGCTGACTAGAAAAATCTTTAGTCGGGGGCAGGCCTACTTGGCACAAGGAACCAATCCATTTTTAAAATAAATGCTATGACATTACGAAAAGTGTGACTGCAAATCTTGTCACGTTATATTGCATTGCACGAGTTAAAAACATTTGACTCATTACGCATGCTTATTTTATTTATTTTTTATGTGTGGGGGTGCAATGGTCTTTCTTGGGGGTGCTGAAGCACCTGCTAGCGCCGGCCATGGGTACCGAAGAGGAACTGTATGTTGATACGGGAAATTCTGGAGGGAACGTCAAGATGGTGTCGCGTGGCGACGTAATGACGTGTGCCATTAATTGATCTATGCACCATAAAATGTAAAACGGGAATAAAAGGAATATTCTAAAAGCAACTCATGTAAACACCTTAATCATAATATTGTCTTATTCAGGATAAGGTAAATAATTAGATTACTGATGTCCATGTAAACGTAGTCAATGTCTCAATGCTGTCTGATACTGTGAGTGCAGAATCAATACAGTACATGACACTAAATCTATTTATGTCAGTATCTTACGAAGTAGTATTTACCTACCATGAATAATGATAATGTAGATGTTCCTTGTTTCTCCACTGAACTGCGAACTGAAGTTCTGAAACTCTTTTCAATTCTGCATTTTTATAGGACTCACAATGTGGATGGTTTTCTTCAGAGCTTAAACCTGTTAAACCAGGAAAATTTCAGAAAACTAATGAAACCAGTTTTTCAACAGACTCAAGAGATGAAAGTAAAACCCGTATGGAGAATACACTGTCTGCAATAAACAGACCTACACACAATGTATCTGACATACCATTAAGTAAAATAATTGACAAATTACAGGTAAAACGGAGACAAACAACAAGTCAAACTGGCCTTAAAGTTTAATCAGGATCATGTGTGTGAACTGTGTATATTTATATGCATATATACTGTAAATACACACACATACATGTATATATTTAAGAAATATATGTACTACATATTTATTATTATTTATTTTGGAAACCATATACCCTTAATGAGGTTTTATACCATGGTCTTACTAATAGGCCGTCTACAGTTAAACTCTAGTATGCAAGAACTATGGTAAATTGCATTGGGGCAATTACAAAGCATAAGTTATTTATCTATTTGTTTGTTTATTTGCATATAACTCACGAGTAAGTAGTTACAAACATTCTAGAAAATATCTTCATACCAGAAAGTCATAACAGTTTGAAATGACACGAGAGTGAGTAAATAATGACATAATTTATTAGCAGTAAATGTATTTTATGGCACCCTATAGCTCAAAATCTTTACTGATTTACTGTAAATCATGTTTATATGTGGCAAAAATGTTAAAATGAAGTTTGTTACCTGCATTTGCATTAAATCCAATAACACCTATTATTCATTTATCTATTCCAATTTTGACCCAGCAAATCTGAACTCATGGGCCGGATGGGCTGAATTTTAGCCCCAGTCCAGCCCTGGCCATGTGCATTGCACTGCAACACTGTAGGTACATGTCCATGTTAAAAGATTGAAAGTCTATTAAAAGATATGTAACATATGTTTAAAGGGGGTCTATTATGCTCTTTTACAAAGTCTTGATTTTGTTTTGGGGGTGTACTAGAACAGGTTCTCATACTAGGTTGTTAAATGAATAAATGTCATGCCCCTTACCATAGCCGCCTGCGAGCTTCAGTGTAAATATTTCGTCAAAATCAAATCAATTTGAGCGTGATTTAAACCCGGATGATTGTAACCACTCTTAAGTTCGTCTGCCTTGGGAAAGCTAGTGTGTCTTTGACATAGTGATAACACTCGTTGCCTTCTCTAGTGCAGCTCAACCAGGTCTCGTCCCATTCGTCGATATGTGTGATATCACAAATCCCGGAAAATATGCGTCGTAGTCCAAACGAGTCGTTCGTTGTAGTTTTTGAAAAGTGATTTCTGTTAAATAAAATATCTCCTTTTGAAGTGAACTTTGAACTTTGCAGATCTTTTTTATGCTCAAACAGCAACAGACTAACTAAAGTTGAAAACGTGAAAAAGCATAATATGACCCCTTTAATATATTTGTACAAGTTTTCAATTCATATACATAATATAAAAGAATATTACACAGACATTATGAACATGTATTTTACATATAGCAGTTGTCAGGGTTCTATCACGTGGGGTTTTATTCTTGTTTTGCTGACAGAGTTCTGAAACTCCTATCCTCTTGTCTTTGTGTGAGTGTGCGGTTTCCCATTAACCTTTGCATCTTTGAGTCCTCCTTCTTCCCTTGCCTCACCTGACAATAAGTAACATATTCAAAATATATGTGCATGTTTTCCGTAAGTTACGCAGATATATATATATATATATATATATATATATATATATATCATAAACATATTTTACATATATTTCATTTTTCATGTGTACAATTCATAATGACATATATTAATGACATATATACAAATTACACATGCATGAGGCATATTTACACAAAATAAATGTCTTTGTGTGTCATATGTATTATACATATGTATTTTGTCAAAATATGTATTATACATTCATAAACACACACACACACACATATGTAATGTGTAATTGTATAATAACCATATATCTGAACAATGTATGTCTAATTTATATATTAGAAATTGTTAGAAATATATTAGAAATTTTTAGACTGGCATCTTCCTGTGGTCTTGTTTGGTATGGCAGGTTGACCTGTGCTTATTTGTTAAAGGGGTCCTTTTATGCTCTTTTACAAAGTCTTGATTTTGTTTTGGGGGTGTACTAGAACAGTCTCTCATACTAGGTTGTTCGAAAAACACATTATTTTTCACATATTTTACATTATTACAACACCTCTCTCCCCAGTCTGGCATGAACTGCTCGAATAGTTCCTGCATGAAATGATGGCCCGCCTTCTGAAATACGAAATGTGCTGTGATTGTTTAGCTGGGCCAGTGTGTGTTGATTGGCACCACTCGGCGCCTGGTCGGGAAATGTCATGCCCCTTAACATAGCTGTGAGCTTCAGTGTAAATATTGCGTCAATATTAAATCAATTTGAGCGCGATTTAAACCCGGATGATTGTAACCACTCTAAGTTCACCACTCGGCGCCTGGTCGGGAAATGTCATGCCCTTTACCATAGCCGCCTGCGAGCTTCAGTGTAAATATTACATCAAAATCAAATCAATTTGAGCGCAATTTAAACCCAGTGATTGTAACCACTCT